CTCTGGCAAGGGAACTGATGGGGAGCTCATGCTACTGGGGAAAATCACACACTCTCTACTTGTAAATTTTACACATTTACTGTTTCAACCTCAATAGGGCCTATAACTTTTTTGAGAAATCTGTTTACTTGTCCTTAGTCAATTCCCTTTTCCATCTCCCTGAAAACCATTTGAAATCTTTCCCATTTTTCTTTATCAGGCTTTCCCAGCAATTGCTCCTTCTTAAAAGATGGCCTTGCTCTCCATCATGTGCAGAGACAATAGAGGCCATGGTCATGCATGAATCCCTCCAGCTTCTCTCAGTTTCAGTGAACTAAGTTTTAGTTCAGTCTCCAGATAATTTTATCCTCAGACCATAACTTCTGTATCTGCCTTGCCTGCCACTTTCATAGCCATGAGACTCTGGGTTCCCACCTGGGCCTCCCACTAGCATTTCATGATCTCTGTGGGTGACCTCATCCAGACTCAGCTGATGCCAATATACTGATGACTCTCAAAAGCAAATCTCTGACTCTGGTTTCTTTCCTGAACTTCATACACATATTTTTCTGGATGTTCCTTATGCACTTCATATTCCTCACTTCCAAAGCATCATAACCAGCACACCCCCTCCCCCATCTAGTGTATTTGCCATCTTGTTTGATGGCATTGCCATCCACCTGATAACCCAAGAAGCAAATCCTTGGTGAATTTTATATATAATTCCTTCCTCAGTCTGAACCTGTGAGTATGTAATCTCATTGCACTTTATGTATTAGGGGGCTGACTCATTTTGCATGCCAACCTTGTAAATAGGTTTCATTTCCATTTACATATTAGGAAGCTGAGGCTTAGAGAGTTTGTGGAACAAGAACAAGCTTACACAACTAATTAGGGCAGAGCTAAAATGTCAGCCTACATTTCTGACTCCAAAAACCTTTTCTACAGATTGAGAGGAAATGGGGAAGGAGAAATGACAGACAGCAGGCAAGTTCTCAAGCAGACTGATTCTAGGAAAGAGTGCATTTAGAAGTTGAGGGTCTGGAAATGGATTCCCTTAAAATGAGCTCCAAATCCTTCCTGGATAATGTTTAGTAACATAGGGGCTGCTTACTTTGGTTTGAAGATGACCAACTACCCTAAAGCTTTCCATGGTGGCAACAGAGAGGTTGGCAGTTTTCAGAAGGGAATTCCTTCTCCCCAGCTTCTCTTAGTTGCTGTCTAGTCAATTCTGATTCATGGCAATCCCATGTGTTACAAAATAGGATTGCTTCTTAGGGATTTCTTGGCAATAATCTTAGTGGAAGCAGATTGCCAGGGCTTTTCTTCCATGATATTGCTGGGTGGATTTGAACTACCAACCTTTAGGTTAGCAGTCCAGCACAATTTTTTTTATACCACCTAGGGACTCAGTGGGGAGCTCTGGTAGCATAGTGGCTAAGGCACTTGCCTGATAACCAGAAGGCTGGCAGTTCAAACCCACCAGCTACTCCTTGGAAGGAAGATGGGGCAAGCTACTTCCGCAGTGATACTGCCTCGGAAACCCAAGGAGGGGTCGCTATGAGTAGGGTCCGACTCAATGGCACCTAACAACAACAAACAAACAACAAAGGGACTCAGGGAGCTCTGGTGGCATAGTGCCTGAGGCATTTAACTGCTAACCAGAGGGCTGGTGGTTCAAACCCACCAGCCATTCCTTGGAAGAAAGACTGAGTAACCTACTTCCATAGAGATACTGCCTTGGAAACCCAAGGAGGGGTTGCTATGAGTTGGAGTCAACTTGATGGCACTCAGTTTGGTTTTTGGTAGGGACTTAATGGAATTCATTTGACCCATCTGGTAATCTTATCACACTTATACTCAACACTAAGTTCTAATAGATATGATTTAGGCTTCACAGAGGAAGATGCTATCAGTGTGATAGTATCAGATGTGGATGGTAATCCCATTCTATGGCCTATTAATTATGTGATTTTAGTCATTTAGTCTATCTGAGTCTGTAGCTTTGAAAGATAGAGATTATAGTATCTACCTCATATGTATTTTTTATTTTTGAGCATTTTATCATTGTTTGGATGAAAGTTTACAGAACATTAGTTTCCCATTCAACAATTTATACACATTTTGTTTCATTAACATTAGTTACAGTCCACCCCAATGTAACAGGCCTCTTCCCACTTCTTCCCTAGGGTCCCTGTTTCCATTTGCCCATCTTCCTGCCTCTTCCTGCCTTCTGAACTTTGTTTCTGGGCAAATACAGACATTTTGGTCTCCTATGGTTGATTGTTCTGAGGAGTACGTTCCTCGCAGGTGTGGTTTGCTCACTTTATAGGCCTTAGTTTATTGTTCAGATAAAAAGTGATCACTGGGGGGTAGATTCAGTGCCAGGTTTGAAGGATGTCTAAGGGTCATAGTCTTGGGGGTTTCACCATTCGCTATCAGACTGGTAAATCTGGTCTATTTTATGATTTTGAATTTTGTTCTGCATTTTTCTCCCAGCCTTTCCAGGATCTTCTATTCTGATCCCAATCAGAGTGGTTATCTGCCTCATATATTTTTCTAGGATTAAATAGTAACATTTGTGTAGTCAGCATATAGGAGAAGATGTGTAATATATATGTTGGTTAAATCATTATTGAATTTGATGGTGGACAAAGATCTGAGAAAGAGAAATTATGTCTCCATGGAATGCTATGATTATTATTTTCAAATAATTTGAATTATGTGCTCTAGAAATCATGTGTGCTATAATTTCATGCTATAAAGTATGGTTCACAGGCCATTACTATGAAATTAATCATAGGTAAAACGAATATCAAAAATATCTATCTTTTCTTCTGTATCCTTTTCAGGGATGTGGAGAATTATTTGAGAAAGCAAAACAAAATAATAACAATGGAGAAGTCTCCAGTGGTGATAACGGCCTCTACTTCAGTAATTTCTCACTTTTTGGTACTCCTGTCCTGAAAGACATCAGTTTCAGCATAGAAAGAGGACAGTTGTTGGCGGTTGCTGGATCTACTGGAGCAGGCAAGGTTGTCTATTTCATTTCCCATCATTAAGTACTTGATTTGTCATGCATTTCTCCTTTATTTTTTAGGGGTGTTTGTAGTGTAGGAAGCTATTTTGGAGAAATCTTTGGATATAGTTTTTTTTTTTTTTTAAATTATATAAACTGTTCCACCGATGGTTTCCTCTAGCTCTTTATTTCCTCATATTATTTTCAATGACTTTTCTTCTGCATCTTTTTATCTTGCACTGTACTTAACAGAATGCCATGCACATGGTGAGCACGCAATAACTTCGTTCAACAATTGAACTGTTCATTTTTGCCCATGGTAGGTATTCAATAACTTTACTGAACAAATGAACCATCCATTTTTAGCAGTCTTTGATGCACATATTTTCTGAGCTGGACTAGGAAAATCATAACTTAGATTTCTTACCTCAGTAACCACATAAGCAAAAGGTCCCCTTTTTATTGACATTAGAATTTTGGAAAATGGGCTAAGATTTGAAGAAAACTTATTGAGAGGGATAGGTTTTTGAGGGAAATACATAGGAATATTAATTTATTGAGTTCTAGTCAGCCTCCTCTCCCCCACTCCCTCAGCCCTATTCCATATGTACAGAGACTTATAAACCTTGAGATACTTGGAAATACATCCTTATAGGTTAGAAACAAGAAAATGGCCCAAAGGTCAGACTTTGTTGTCAGGAGAAGAGATGATTAAGCAGTAGCTTTATAATGATTTTTAAAGCATCTGAGCTATCATTCAGAGGATGATAAACTTTACTCTCTTCAACTATCCAGGAATTAAATTTAAAAGGCATGAAGGGACCGAATCACAGATAGGAGTGGGCTTCCTGACATTGGCATGGGCTTTACAGTTGACAGATATTTGCTATAAGAATAGATCCCATAACAAAATTTCTATAAAAATAGATCCTTTTTTCCATTTGACTGTTATTTTATCTGTTGGACTTTCTAGAAATCCAAGAAAAAGTTCAGTGGCTTCCTGATACTTTTCAAGATACATTCTAGAATTAAATCCCACACATCATAAAGACAAAAAAGATCAAAGGAGTGCTATGTAAGATAAAAATGTACATAAAAATAGAAAATAAGAAGACCCTTGAAATGCAGTTTTAAAAATTAATATCTAACATGGAGAACCATATTTTGAAGAATTTAGTCTTAGACTTGGGAAGCAAAATACTGCGGGAATTTTCTAATCACTGAATCTGGTGTCTGCAATGCTCACAATAGACTTTTCTCAGTGCTCACTCTAGCTAACGTTTCCTTACACCTGAAACACCTTTAAAATAAAGTACTCTTTGTGAATCTTCTTAAAAAAGCATTTTCCTACTTATTGTGTCATTTTTTTTCCATGTATTTTTTTTTGTATGTTATCGGTAGTTTTCATGATTAAAAGAAAATTATAACATAGGAAGAGTTGCTACCAAGCAAGTTATTTACATGTTATTTAAATAAAGATATTTACTTGTGAGAGGATAGTAATTGTGTTACATTGAAGTTTAAAAATTAATTCTGTGTTCATGCTTTAAAATGAATTTTATGAAAGATGTGCAAAATAGCTTTGGAATTACAAATTGCAAGCCTTATGAGTAATTAAATTTCAGGCAGTTCTATTAAGAATTGATGAGCAGGTAATTGCTGGCTAGAGTTGTGATCGTGTACTGTGGGAAGCAGCTCTGAAAACAGAGGCAGATGAAGGCAATGTTTCCTGAGGAGTAATTAAGTCCTTCAGAAACAGAATTTGCCAACTAAATTTGTATCTAGGAGATGCCTTTTCTTAGTATGAAGAATGGAACATTTTATCATTTTATTAGACAACAGATCAAACTAAAATGTAAGAGGGAATAAGAAAATATTAATATTTTAAGTTAATTCTCATGCTATTCAATTTGGTTATTTGTATCAAAAGTCTTAAAAATAACCTAAGAAATTTTCTATTTGTATGGTATTTTCCTCACCAGCCACTCCTCAGAAGGAAGGTTGGGCAATCTACTTCTGTAGTGATACTGCCTCAGAAACCCAAGGAGGGGTTGCTATGAGTCGGATCTGACTCGACGGCAGTGAGTTACTATGGTATTGTCCTAATATGTGTACACAAACCGGATATAAAACTATTCATTAAAACACTGTTTTCAATAGTGAAAAATTGGGTAAAAAACCCTGACTGTCTAATAATTGGAGTTGTTTAAATAAATTTTGTTCCTTCTATGAAGGAACACTGATGGCACAATGGTTAAGTGCTTGGCTGTGAACTGAATAGTTGATGGTATGAACCTACCCAGTAGCTTCTTAGGGAAAGAACTGATGATCTGCTCCCATAAAGATTACGGCCTGCAATGCTCAATGAGACTGTTCTTCTCTGTCTGATAGGGTCTCAATGGCCCCTAACAGTAATATCAACATGTTGTTGTTGTTGTTGTTATTTGCCATGGAGTCGGCCCGACTCATAGCGACCCCTCCTTGGGTTTCCGAGGCAGTATCACTATGGAAGTAGGATTGCCTAACCTTCCTTCTGAAGAGTGGCTGGTGGGTTTGAACCGCCAGCCTTCTGGTTAGCAGTCAAATGCCTTAGGCACTATGCTACCAGAGCTCCCCCATATCAACATATAATGGCATATTATTCAGCCAGTAAAAGGGATGTTAAAGTTTCTCTCTGAAGGATGTCTGGAATATAATGTTAAATGAAGAAATACAACATTTTTTCTAATTGAACATCAGGATGTGTGGGATAATCTATTAGCTCTTGTTTTTGCTTATTTTAAAAATAAGTTACAGATGTCTGTGAAGAGTTTTGTCTAAGTTTGGTAATTTGAGAAATACAAAGTCAAATGAAAGCATCATTGAATATAATCACTATATAAGTGTATGTATTGCACCTGGGTATAAAATCCACACCATGTGTGAATTCATGAAGCTGTGATATATGAAAGTCGCATATCTAGTTTTTAACTTTTATACAAAGGATTTTACATAAAAGTAAGATAGTTCTTATTTTTTCCATACAATATGGATGATAACATCTACTGAAATAGATAGTGCAAAGATGACTATTGCTTTCCTCCTAATATAATTTGTTGTTATTGTGTGCTGTTGAGTTTATTTCAACTCATAACATCTTCATGTGACAGAGTGGAGCTGTCCCATTGGGTTTCCTAGGCTACAATCTTTATGGAAACTTTTTGGCAGATCTTCCTCCTGTGAAGCCACTAAAAAACAAAAGAAAAACAACAAAAAACACAGACTATCAAGTCAATTCTGACTCATAGCAACCCTGATTGGGTTTCCAAGGCTGTAAATCTTTAATACAAAAGATGAGTCCTTTGCCTCATCTTCCACTTGTGGAGTAGCTGGTGGGTTTGAACCACTGACCTGGTTAGCAGCCAAATGTCTTACCCATTATGCCAAGTAGGTTCAAACAGCCAATCTTTCAATTAACAGCCAAACACTTAACGTTTACACCACCAGGCATCCTTAATATAGTTTAGTGATAAACCAAAAACCAAGTTCACTGCCATCAAGTCGATTCCGACTCATAGTGACTCTACGTACAATAGAACGAAACATTGCTCATTCCTTCACAATCCTCACAATCGTTGCTATGTTTAAGCCTATTGCTGCAGCTGCCTAGTGTTCCAATATGTGAATGGATATTCTGTACTGTAACGAGTCACCTATTGATTGACATTTGGGGTTTATCCAGTACTTTGCTAACACAAACAATGATGCTATAAAAAAATCATGTACACATGCCATTTAGCGTGTCTGCAAGTGCATCACTAGGATAGCTTCCTAAAAGTGGAATTTCTAAGGTAGAGTATTTGTGTATTTGTAATTTTGATACATATTGCCAAACTTCCCTCCCTAAAGACTGCCTGTTTATACTCCTGCCATATAATCGGTATGAGTGTCATCAACATATTATCTAACTGTTGAAGTATTTCCAATCTTATAGGGGAAAATGATGTGTCAGAATATTTTAACTATCCATCTCTTTTATTATGAGTAGAGCATCTTTTCGTATGTTTAAAGACCACTTACATTTTCTTTTTCGGTGAGTATCTGTACATTTCACCAAAATACTCTGTATACTTTTCTATGGTATGGTAGGTGGTTTCTTTTTTTGATTTTAGGGTCACTTTATGTACAGGAAAATTACCCCTTTTTGTGATATAAGTGACAAATATCTACCTCAGTTTGTCATTGGTTTCTATGCAGAATTTGTTTTTTCAATGTGGTTTACTTTTATCTTTTATTTTATGGTGGATTTTGTATCAAAAGGCCCTTCTCACTCCACAGTTTGTTTTGGATTCTTTTTAGGCATCCTCTAGTGTTTCCTTTAAGTATTTTATGGTTTCTTGTTTTGCATTTACTTTTTTGACCTATTTGAAATCCATGAGCCATATGGTGTGAGATGTCAATAATATTTTGAGCTTTATAGTTGTCCAACACCATTTATTGAATCTTTCCCTTTCTGATTTTAGATGCCAACTTATGTATTTATGTATTTGGATTTGTTTATGTATTTGGATCTAATTTTGTACTTTCTATTCCATTCGTTTGTCTGCTTATTTATGTACCAGCTATACTTTGGTTTAAATTATTCAATCCTCATAATGTAATTTAAGGTAATGCATTGTAATAAAATTGAATTATTAAGTAATTACAATATCAATCGTCATTTAACAAATATTTCTTGAGTAACTACTTTGTGCCAGGCACCCTCCTGGGCTCTGAAGATATCAAAACCCACAACAAACGTACTTTCACACTCACTCCAAAGATCTCACATCCTAGTGCAGGATGACAGACAATGAATAAAGAAAAGAAGATATGGGATACCACTTGGTAATAAATACCATGAAGACAAATAAAACAGAGAAGGATGGGTGGCAGGGGTGTGATTTTTAAATAGTGCAATAGGGAAGACCTCTGAAAGGTAACCTTTGAGCAAACACTTGAAGGAGATGAGAGATTAAGCCATGTGGACATCTGGGGCAAGAGTCTTTCAGGCAGAGGGTGCAGCAGGTGAAGCCATGAGTGGGACCGTGCCTGGCTGGTTCAAAGAAGGCAAGGAGGCCAATGGGGATGGCACAGAAGGAGCCAAGGGAGGGCAGAAGGAGAGCTGTCAGAGAAGAGAAAGGAAGCCAGATCATAAAGGGCCTTTTTCTTTCATTCTTAGTGCTGCTGTAACAGAAATACCACAAATGGGTGGTTTTAAAGGACAGAAATTTATTTTCTCACAGTTTGTTGTCATTGTGAGTTGATATCAAGTTGATTCTGACTCATGGTGACCCCATATAAACAAACTCAAACTGTTCCATAGGATTTTCAATGCTGTGAACTTTTGGAAGCAGATCACCATGGTGGGTTTGAACTGCCAACTTTTGGCTAGCAGTTGAGCACTTAACCCTTTGTGCCACCAGGGAGAACATCTCATAGTTCAAAAGGGTAAAAATCCAAATTTAGGACACCACATCCAGAGGAAAGCTCTCTCTGTTGGCTCTGTGGGAAATTCTTTTCTCAACTTCTCTAGCTAGCCATTCGTGGAGTTCCTGGGCTTGTGGATACGTCTACCTGTCTCACCTTCTGATAGTGTCTGACACATCTTCTACCTGCGGAGTGACTGGTGGGTTCAAATTGCCGACCTTTCAGTTAGCACCCGAGCACTTAACCAGTGCACCACCAGAGTTCCTTCCTTAAAGATTACAGCCTAAAAAAAAACCCTATGAGGTGGGGCATAATAGAAGATACTGGATAGAATGGGAGAAAAATCTAGAACAAAATTCAAATTCTGGACCAATAGGAACCCCTGTAACTATTGCCCTGACATACCCTTTGAACATGGCACTGAAGCTACTTCTGGAGGTCACCTTTCCAGCAAATAATAGATTGGCTTGTAAAATAAACAGTTTCACCTGTGAGTAATGTGCTTCTTTAAACAATCAACTACATGAGACCATATGGTCAACATTTACCCAAAAGCAAAGAAGGGAAGGCACAGCGGAGTAGGGAAGCTAGATCAGTGGGAACAGAACAAACAGAATGGAAATAGTGAGAATGCTGACATACTGTGGAAATTGTAACCAATGTCATGGAACAATTTATATAAAAATTGTTAAATAGAACCAATTTGTTATGTAAACTTTCACGTAAAATTCAATAAAATAATTTCTCAAAAACAAACACCTAGAAAGGCACTCCTCTTTGTTACATGTGGTCACAATGAGTCGGAATCAATGGTATATAACAACAACTCTCCTTTGTGGCTTGTCCAAATTTCGTCTTCATTTCTGTTTTATTATTTCCTTTTACTTTCTTGAGTTATGCCAGTTTGTGTTTAAACTCCTCCTGTTATTTGGCCATTTTTTTCTCTTAGTTCTGTGTCTGTTTTTTGGGTTTTCTTTCTTTCTTTTTTTCCCTTTATAGTTTCTTTATTTTGGTATCATGCAACTTTTATTATTTATATTTTAAGGAGTTAAATATCAGATTTTCCTGGATTAGTTATTTACAGATTCCTAGACAGATGGGCTGGGGGAGACCTTCCATACTTTCCAGCTCTATTCTTGCTTTCTGTCACAGAGACAGTATCCTTCTGCAAATTGGGATCATCTGTGTAATTATTTGTATAGCACTTCCTTTGTTTCTTTGGCTCAAATTTTGTTCATAAGGTCTTTTGTGACCTGCTTAGCTCATCTCCATCCCTGTGTTCATTGTTGCAGACTTTGGAGTGAGCCTCTCACCTTTTGAGAGAGTCTTTGTGTTAGTACCTATGGACATCTGCACTTGGGCTTCGCCATTATTTGTGTTCTTCATAATCTCATTGGTTTTCACGTTGCTGGTTCAAACCTGCCAGTCAGTCCCCAGGAGAAAGAGGTGGCAATCTGCTTCTCTAAAAATTACAGCCTTGGAAAACTCATAGGACAATTCTACTCTGTTCTGTAGGTTGCTATGAGTTGGGCTTGACTCAATGGCAAAGGATTTATATCTATTTAAGACTCTACAGGTTATATCTTTCTCCTATTTTTAATGAAATTAGAATTTATTTATTTATTCGTTCTATTTTTTGGTTTAAAATGATTTCCAGGAACAAAAGGGTAAGGTGTTGACTTACATAGTCAATTTCATTAAGGGATACTAGTAAAATTTTTAGTAAGATTTACTGTGATCCATGAGTTAGGAAATCTATATTTTAAAATTCTTTCTTAGCTATGTTTTCTAAATGAATAATCTGTTCATTCTTTCCTTAGCTCTTTTATTTCCTCTTCAATTCCCCAAAAGATTTCAATCCCCTTAATTCCACCAAACTGTTATCAATGACATCTTAATGCAGTAGACAAGTTTGGTCGTTATTCTCCTTTTACTTTCATTCCTTTCTCACTTCTCCTTCCTTCCGGAAACTCTCTCTTTCTTGCCTTCCCTGGTATAACTGTCTCCCACTTTTCCTCGCTCTTTTGAATCACGCTTTCTCCTTCACTTTTCCTCAGATCAGTTGTTGATGTTCCCTGGGGTTTGGAATCTTACTCTCATCTCACTGCACATAGTCTCCTTTGGTGAGTCCATCTGTATCTACAAGATAGTGTCACAGTTACTCTTTTTACCTAATTTCTTTATGAGATGGGGATAATAATGAGTCCATCTCATAGGGTCACTGTCAGCATTAAATAAATTAACACAGCTAAAGCAAACAGACCAGTGCCCCACACAGAGCAAGCCCTAAACAATTATTAGCTGTTAGTAAACTATGTCTGACCTCTTCCAAACCTACCCCAACAATTGGAATTAAGTGCTTTTTCTCTATGAATCTCTATCATAGTCCTTAACACACTCTATTGTAATTGTCTCTTTTATTCCCTACTTGTTTCTTTATTGCATAGCAGACTACCTGGAACAGAAAATGGTTAATAAATTTTGAACCAAATGGGTTAGCAGAATCTTTAAAATCAGGATACCTTTGTTTAGAATGATGTCTTGAGGCAAGTGAATCCTGTGAGTGATTCGATCAAATGATTTAATAATGATATTTTTTCTTTCCAGACTTCACTTCTAATGATGATTATGGGAGAACTGGAGCCCTCAGAAGGTAAAATTAAGCACAGTGGAAGAATTTCATTCTGCTCTCAGTTCTCCTGGATCATGCCTGGCACCCTTAAAGAAAATATCATCTTTGGTGTTTCCTATGATGAGTATAGATATAGGAGTGTCATCAAAGCCTGCCAACTAGAAGAGGTAAGCAAGTGTGTGAAAAATTTCTAATGCCTATGAAGCTATGGAAGTATTTACATTATATATTTAATTGCTTTTTCAATCAATCAGTCAGTCTATACATATTAATCAAGTTTCCTCTGTGGGTAAACTGCTGTGGTTAATCAGAGAATAAAATACATGGTCCTGCTTTCCAAAAGCTTGAAAATACAATAAAATAGATATAATTTGTTTTCTAAACAACTGGGTGGTTTGTTGGTATTGCTATGTGTTGTCGAGTCATTTCTGACTCATAGTGACCTTATGCACACAGAACGAGACACTGCCTGGTCCTGTACCAGCCTCACAATCCCTACTATACCTGAGCCCATTGCTGCAGCCACCATGTCCATCCATCTCATTGAGGGCCTTCTTCTCTTTTGTTGACCTTCCACCCTACCAAGCATGAGATCCTTCTCCAGAGAGTGGTCCCTTCTGACAACATGACCAAATAGGTGAAACAAAGTCTGCCCATTCTTGATTGCAGAAAGAATTCTGGCTGCACTTCCTCCAGGACAGATTTGTTAGTTCTTTTAGCAGTCCATGGTACTTTCAGTATTCTTCACCAGCACCACAACTCAAAAGCATCAATTCTTCTTTAGTCTTCCTTATTCATTGTCCAGCTCTCACATGCATATGAGGTGATTGAAAATACCATGGTTTGGGTCAGGCATATACATCTTAGTCTTCAAGGAAATATCTTCACTCTTCAGCACTTGAAAGGGGTCTTTTGCAATAGATTTGCCCAATGCAATATGTCTTGATGTCTTGACTGCTGCTTCCATTGGTGTGGATTGTAGAACCAAATAATATGAATTCTTTCACAACTTCAGTCTTTTCTCCATTTATTGTGATGCTGCTTATTGGTCCAATTGTGAGGATTTTTGTTTTCTTTATATCGAGGTGTAATCCATACTGCAGACTGTAGTCTTTAATCTTCATCAGTAAGTGCTCCAAGTCATCCTCACTTTCAGCAAGCAAAATTGTGTCTTCTACCTATCTCAGGTTTTTAATGAGACTTCCTCAAATCCTGATGCCACATTCTTCTTCATATAGTCCAGCTTCTCAGATTATTTTCTCAGCATACAGATTGAATAAATATGGTGAAAGGATACAACCCTGACACACTCCCTTCCTGAGTTTAAACCATGCAGTATCCCCTTGCTCTGCTCAAACAATAGCCTCCTAGTCTATGTACAGGCTCCTCATGAGTACAATTAAGGGTTCTGGAGTTCCCATTCTTCTCAATGTCATCCACAATTTGTTATGATCCACACAATTGAATGCCTTTGCATAATCAATAAAACACAAGTAAACAACTTTCTGGTATTTGCTTTGAGCCAAGATCCATCTGACATTAACTGTGATATCCCTTGCTCCATGTCCACACCTTCTGAATCCAGCTTGCATTTCTGGAAGTTCTCTGCCAATATACTGCTGCAACCATTTTTCAATTATCTTCAGTAAGATTTTACTTACATGTGATATCAATGTTAGTGTTCGATAATTTTCGCATTCTGTGGGAGCACTTTTCTTTGGAATGGGTAAAAATATGGAACTCTTCCAAACAGTTGGCCAGGTAGCTGTCATCCAAATCTCTTGGCTTAGCTGAGTGAGTGCCTCCAGGGCAACATCCATTTGTTGAAACATCTCAATGGGTTTTCTATCAATTTCCAGATCCTTGTTTTTTGCCAATTCCTTCAGTACATCTTAGACTTCTTCCTTCAATACCAATGGTTCTTGACCATATGCCACCTCCTGAAATGGATAATCATCTACCATTTCTTTTTAGCATAGTGACTCTGTGTATTCCTTCCATCTTCTTTTGATGTTTCCTGCATCATTCAATATATTTCCCATGGAATCTTTCAATATTGCATGAGGCTTAAATATTTTCCTCAGTTCTTTCAGCTTGAGAAATGCTGAGCATATTCTTCCCTTTTGGTTTTCTAACTCCAGGTCTTTGCATATTTCATTATAATAATTGACTTTATCTTCTTGAGCTGTTCTTTGAAATCTTCTGTTCAGCTCTTTTATCTTGTTGATTCTTCCATCTGCTTTAGCTTTAGCTATTCTCTGTTCAAGGGCAACTTTCAGAGTCTTTTCTGACATCCATTTTGGTCTTTTCTTCATTTCCTGTCCTTTTAATGACCTTTTGCTTTCTTCATGGATGATATTGTTGATGTCATTCACAATTCCTCTGGATTTTGGTCATTGGTGTTCAAAGAATCAAGTCTATTCTGATTTAGTTACAATAAAAAGTAAAGTGGCTGGTTTAGTTACAATAAAAACTCTTTATGAACATAGTGAGAATTTTGTTCACTCATTAGTGAGACAAATACCCTGAACGCATATTTGTATGGCATGCATTCTTAAAGATATTCTGAAAATTATATAGAAGGATTTTAATAATTTTAATAACACCATATAAAATGAATATTGACCTGCCAGTAGAGAATCACAGAGAAAATTGTGATTGTATCTCAGCCTCAGTCCTTGAATATATAACCATAAAACACTAGTGTCTGGAGTTCTCTGAAACAAAATGAAGATAATGCTGTTGAATCATTTCACAAGAATATTGGGGAAAGAGATAATTATCTGGAAATTACATAAGGTATTTCAGGTGAAGTCAGTATGCTCTTTGCATTTGCATTTGCTTTTAACATCAATTTCATGCTATTTAATACATAAATTGTATGGTAAAAGTTCAATTATTATTGATGTAAATATTAGGGCAGAGAAAATATTATTATGAGGTTTTTCAGCAATATTGCCTGAATTTAAATTTATTATCTTCAATAGATGGCATCTGGCACTATTTTCGTTCCTTTGAAATTTTTAGAAAAAAAAATTGCTGTTGGAATAATGTGAAGCTTAAAATACAGTGCATGAAAAAATAGAAAAAGCTAATTGTGAGGTAGACAGAAACCACAGTTCCTACAAAGAAGGCATATACTTGGACACGTGACTCTGTACTGTGGTTTTTTAAAGCCCTAATTCTCTTGTTTTCTACATACTCTGAAAGCAAAATGAAAATGAAAGCTGTCCTGAAAAAGGGGGTTGAAACAGACAGTGGATTTGTTACCAAAAAAAAAATCTGAGTGATTCTAGAATACAGATATTTGTCTAGCATGGCAATAGAATGCAAAAGTGGTCAAGATATATCATGGGTCCTATTTAATAGTAGATAATTTTGGGAAGTTTTCTTGTGAACTTTATTTTTGCCTTGAATATAGCTTGAATATAGACCAAGAGACTGTCATTCCAAAAGAACAAGGGATATTGTATGGTTTAAAATCAGGAAGAGAGTGTGTCAGCCTTGTATCCTTTCACCATACTTATTCAATCTGTATGCTGAGCAAATAGTCCAAGAAGCTGGACTATATGAAGAAGAAATACTTATTCAATCTGTATGCTGAGCAAATAGTCCAAGAAGCTGGACTATATGAAGAAGAACATGGCATCTGGATTGGAGGGAGGCTCATTAACAGCCGGTGATATGCAGACAACGCAACTTTGCTTGCTGAAAGTGAGGATGACTTGAAGCATTTACTGATGAAGATTAAAGACTATAATCTGCAGTATGGATTACACCTCAAATAAGTAATATGAAGTCCTTGACAACTTCAATCTTTTCTCCATTTATCATGATGCTGCTTATTGGTCCAGTTGTGAGGATTTTTGTATTCTTTATACCTCAATATAGGAGTTGTGGGTTCCTCTTTCATGGAATGAACATTTACTAACTTCTGAACACTCTACTGTTGTTGTTGTTGTTATGTGCCGTCGAGTCGACCCCCGACTCATAGCGACCCCTCCTTGGGTTTCCGAGGCAGTATCACTACGGAAGTAGGATTGCCCAACCTTCCTTCCGGTTCTGGGAATATCAAGTTGAATAAGACATAGTCTGTTCTCCTAGAGGTTCCTTTCATGGAACAATATATGATGGAGTTCTGAGGGTAGCAATAATGAAACTTATGGCCCAAATGGAAACTTTTGATAAAGTTTACTGGTTGCCATAGAGCCAATTCCAACTCATAGCTGCCCTAAAGAATAGAGTAGAACTGCTGCATAGGGTTTCCAAAGCTATAATCTTTATGGAAGCAGACTGTCATATTTTTCTCCTGCAGAGCAGCTGATGGGTTTGAACCAGTAACTTTGTTAGCAACTGAATACTAGACCACTGTGCTACCAGGGCTCCTTGATTAAGATTAGCACTAAATAAAGTAGATAAAGAGTTAACTGAGTATGAGGAAGTATAAGAGTGATAAATAAATGGTCATTGAATTGTTGGCAAAACTAAATGGGTTATACAGAAGGTGACTAACCCAGCATCTTGCAAAGTAGCCCTTCAGTAAAAATTAGCTTGTTTCCACTTGCCTTTGAGGTAGAGAATTCTGCTAGATAGCATGAGGTAAGAGACGTTCCTGTGATAGTCAGGTCTTGTAAGAGGTTGACTACTATGGGAACAAGATGGAGGATGGAGTAATTCAGGCGAAGGAGCGATTCATGAAACCACAGAATCATGAAGTTATCAGTATGAATTCTGATGTTGACAAAAGTGGTTATAAGAGAAAATTAAAGTGGTGGTCATCTATAAATATGGTAGTTGATCTGCATGACCCAGCCAACAACAGTTGAATTATCCAATGGAAGAAAACAGATGACATAAGATCCCAAAGGTGAGGAGTGTAGGGACATGGTCCATGCTCCAGAAATGGCATGAGGATTGGCCATTTTCTCTATTCCTTTCAGATCCACAAACATTCATTATGCTATTACGTTATGGCAAACATGTACATTGTGCTGGGGATGGGGTGGATACAAAATGAACACTTCATCATCTCTTCCCTTGAAGAACTTGACAGGCTGGTAGGATAGAAGTATATATAAAGAGACCACATTGAGGTAGAAGTACTCTTATGGCAGAACAGAAACCCAGCTGGGGACTTTTATCCTGCTTGGGCAGTTCAGAGAATGCA